GGAGTTGCGAGAAATGAGGAAGAAGAAAAAAAAAAAGAGAAGAAGAGGAGTTGCGGGAGAGGAGGAAGAAGAAAAAAAAAGGAAAAAAAAAAAGAAGAAAAAAAAGGAAAAAAAAAAGAAGAAAAAAAAAGAAGAGAAAGAAAAAAAAGGAAAAGAAAGAAAAAAAAAGAAAGAAAGAAAAAAGAAAAAGAAAAGAAAATAAATTAAAAGAAAATAAAAATAAAAGAAAATAAATAAAAGGAAAAAAAAGAAATAAAATAATAAAATGAAGAAAAATGGAAGGTTGGCGACCAAATATGATGTTGGTGCGCCGCATGCGACAACGTGTGTTGATTCGATCATCAACATTTGATATTTTTGGTAACATGCATATGATCGTGCGTGGTGATGATGGCAACCAGGACTGCGTGTCCCAAGGTAAAATCCGTTCCTCATTTCGCATAATATAGTTTATAAAATTATTCATAATTTAATATATGTGTTTTCTATTATAAACGAGGAAAACTACCCAAACGATATTCGGATTTATGAGATGACCGTAGATCGAGTTAGAAAGGATTCTCAAAACTTTCTTGATCACATCATATGTAATAATTATGTGTATTCCGTACAGAGAGATAAATTTTATGTTTATGTAAATGTGTATATACATAGTGCAAAATGTGTGAATATTTAAATGTATGTGTAATGTAATATAAATATAATTAATATGTCTAATTTGTATTTATGTAGTGTATATATATGTTGTTACACATGTGCGCGTGTATATATAAAAGTATATGATGAATGAAATATAAATTGATAAGAACAGAACTGATAAGAGTAAATGTGTGAGTAAATATGTATATGATATATTGCATATGATTGTGTGTACATATTTAAGTATGAACGTATGTATATGCATCGGTAGAGATTTTGTGTGTTTTGTGTGTGTGAATATAAATATATATTTTATCTGAGACATGTAGTGACAATACATATTTGTATTATAATATATGTGTGTATTAAAATATATGTACATATGTTATGCATGTGAAATGTATAAACAGTGTGTGTGTGTGTGAAATTTGGGTACATTGCACTGCCTATGTGATCTGGTGCAGATGTACGGTGCACTGTATTTCTGTGTGATCTGGTACAGTTGCGTGAGAAATTTGAGTATCATGTGCTTGTTGTGTGATCTGGTACAGGATAATTCAAAAAATAATTTAAAATATATAGCTCTAATGCGCGTGATGATATTGTGTATTTTGTGTGTATTTATGTTTAATTATGTATAGAAATTAAGATCTTAAGTAAGAAATAAGTGAATTAGATATGATAGAGATTTGAAAAGAGTGTAGAGTATAAGCATCCTGAATACATACTCGTTTAGTCTGAATCGATGAGGGGAAGGTGTGTGTGTGGTTGAGATTCAGCGGGTATGGTAAACCTGCACATTGATAGAGTTTGAAGTCTAATCCAGATATGGATAGGTATCTGTGAGTGTGGGTCACTTAGCAAACGTACCTGCTGTGACCATTGTGAAATTTATATGTGTGTGCACTATCCATGCGATAGAGGGATTCATTTCACCTCTCCTCGATGACGATTTAAACGTCATCGCTTGATGAAATCTAAGATATGATATTTCGAGTGTATTGTAATATTTTGAGTGTAAGTTTGATTTGAAATAAGAATAAGAATTAAGAATTAGGTTATAAGAGTGAGGATTAAAATATGTTTCGTTCAATGAATTCTGTTTTGTTATATATTTTGATTGTGGTGCTTTGTTTAACATTTTTTTAATTATAAATATTAATATATTTTACGTATTGCGTGAGTGTATGAACGTAAGTCTCCGTTATAGAATAATTTTTCCTACTGAGCTCGTGAAACTCAACTCAATTCACCTCCATCCAAGTTAAAGGAATTCAAAGATCAAAGGAATATGATAAAGAAAACCTAGTTAGTTTCTATTTTAAATTTATAAATTAATGTAGATGCCTCAGTTATGTGTAAATAAATAATTATCCAGTCATAAAATATGTGTATTAAAGTATAATTCCGCTGCATATTTAATATTTATCTGTTCTACTAGTTGAAAATATTGTACTAACGTCCGTACTCAACGACATTGAGTTTTTGGATGTTACACTACACATCTTCGGAGCTCACATATCATAATTTGATCCACTTAATGTGACATCCATTAGCTTATAAATATGTTTAAAGAAGTTCATATGCAAGTATGATCAATAACCCAAAAAAGATATAGAAAAATAAAAGCACAAAACCTGCACTTGGAATTGGAATTACTAGAAACTAACTGCAAAATTGGATTCAGAGGGTAATGACTTCTAATTATACATGAAAGTACGTATGGAGTCGAATGGAGAAGTATTTGATATCTTTAGATTTGTGAGAAGAAGCTTACAGTGGTGTTAAAATCTTACAAAATCTTTAAAACATTGGCGCAACCAGCAATAAGAGACATTAACAAGATATGCCAACTCAAAGAAAGAAAAAACTCAAAAAAAAAAACCTCTTTAAGACTCTTATTAAAGTAAAAAAAAAATAAAAAAAAAATCATATTCTTATTGTGTGTCTGTCCATAAATCATACAAGATATCTATACATAATAATTCTAGTTGAATAAAGTAGCTAGTTTAATTGATGACTTTTAATACATTAAATTAAGGCCTAAATTTAGAAATGAATAAAATTATTTGATCTATAATCAATAAAATAAATACATACCTTAACAATAAAAGCTAATTGATACAGTAAATTCAATATAATAAATACAATATTCTAACACTCTTAATTCTATTTAAAAGTTCATAAATTTTTTAATTATCATCTAAATCATGTAATCTTGTAAGTCGAAAACAAAAGAAAAATGACCCAAAGCTTACTGCTAAAAAATATATATTTTGTTAATTACCTATATGCATCATATCTAAATAGTATAATGTTTAGCTATAATTTTTTCTTTTTTTTTTGTATATTTAACTTCATTATTTTCCAGATCTATTTTTTTCTTTTTTTTTTCTTCTTTAAAAAAAAAAAAAAAACAAACAAAATTCTTTAGTGTTTTTCAAGTGAAAATAAAAAGCTTATTAAACGAATTACTTAGAGAAACTTTAATATTTCTATGTATTATAAAATGACCCTTTAACTTAATAGTATAGAAATAATTATATCACTATCACTTCCGCAGAAAACATAATAAAATTCTATGAGAAAATGTACAAAATAATCTTCAACAACATTTATGAGAGGTGTAAAAGACAAATGAGAAACACAGACAACACACCATACGCCCCATGATTTGTTCAACGACTAGTTTTATTTGATTTGGCAGTACACTTATGGCGTCAAATACTCAAACAAACTGATCAAGGTACTCCTCCACAGTAGTGTATTTCACATCTGGATAAAGCTGTGAAGCCTCCACCCCGAACGAATCTTCAATCTCAAAGTTGGTGTGATCTCCTTTCACAAAAACTGAGTGATTAATTGACAGTATCACGTTCAGTGGAACCGCAGCTTCTGCAAGATCAATCAAGTTCATCCAACCAAGTCAGAGGTTAACGTTGTTTACCACCCTATACATACTACATATCAAGCTTACCAAGCTTCAGACCAGTGCGCCACCTTAAATTTACTGGTTAGATTATAAATTACTATTGTCTGAAACAATCCCTCATCACTATTCGCTGTTGATTCTTCTGGACGATAGGTCCTTATAAATATGTAACTAATCACTCGAAATTATACCTTGGATGTTTTTAAGGACTTGTTCTTTTGGAATATAGATCTTTTCAAGGGTTTTGCCAATTTTTTTTTCCCACAAAGACACAAGATCGTTGAAGGAGTAAGTGTTTTTTGGAGGTCTTACGTAGAGGATTTTGTTCAAGGTTCTTGGATCATCCACGGCTTTAATTGTAAAGGTACCAATGTCATTTTCCTTGTTAAACACACCTGGACCACAAAAAAAAAAAAAAAAAAAAAAAAAAAACCAGTAAAATTCTGTTCCAGACATTTACCAAGTAGATGCATGCCGGTATCATTTGTATATGTTATAACTACATGTAAAGAATTGGAGAAAAGTAATTTTGGTTGACTGCTAACTAGTAATGGAAGAGGACAGGATCTTGAGTTGGCTGATCAATGATGTCAGCGAAAAGAGTAAGTGATCAGTATTAACTAGCTGTCAGTGCATTATAGCATTATATTAATTCCATTCGTAATCAGATGGGCTCGGACACAGGGTATACATAAACATATGTACATATGTATGTCTTTACCTTTTGGGTTTCCATCACCTAGGATGACAACTTTATCTCTTGGAGGAGCTGCGACTCCTGGTTGTGCCAAAGTGGGAAGGAAATAGCCAGCAAAGAAGTTGCTGGAGACATAGGTGTATGGAATTCCTTCTGCCTCAATAGTTCGACGGATTTTCGCCTTAGTGGCAAATGCTGTTTTTGCTGGCTCAACTGCATGGACCCGATCCACGTCATTACCGAACTCGGATGGGAAGAATCTCTGAAAAACATCAACTGTTATACCACCTTTTATATATACATATAAATTAATTATAATATAATATTCACCAACTATTATTTATATTATTTTATGATTGATATTAGTATATCATCTAATTGATGAAAATATCATTAAATCTAAAAAATATTTGGGATTTATAATTTCAATTACTCCATTGTTTAATCAAGGACTGAACTACTTGAATCCTTTAGGAAAATACGTTCCTATATTCCTCAAAAGAAAACACTAAAGCAGAACTACATCATTTTTCAACCACATAATGGAAAAGAGGAAACTCAACAAAGCCATAAATGATGATTACATGTAAAATTAATAAAAAAGCTAAAATCAAGAAAGAAAAAAGAACAGGGGAAACAGAGAAAGAGGAGCCATAGAGTTCCTTACCTTAACATTGCCAGCTTCTTTAATGGCGTCAATGATCTTGACTTGATCGGATAACTGTTCATGACCTACCGTTGATATTACCACGTCCACTTGCTTTATCGCCTTCACTAAACTTGCGTGATCCTCCAAATCTCCCTTTTATAACCCAACAAGACAAGAAAACAAGTATTTTTGTTAGTAATTTTTTGTTAACTGCCGATAGCTCTGTTTCAACTTGGCCCTTATCTAACCAAGTGGCTGAAATTAACCTTCCAGGCCAGGTGCTGGTTGTTAAAAATCCAATGTCATTTCGCTTCGAGAATTTCAAGCAAGATTTAGAAAGGAAGGGCATGGAAATTTTCACGAATTAAGAATAACACTATTTATTCAAATTTTATATGATAGTAATTTATATAAACAGATATAGCCAATTATATACATATATATATATATATATATATATTACGTACTTTTCTTACTAATTTACAAATATACTCCTCCTAATTGTAAATGTGTTGTAAATGAACATCCTTAACGTAGATCTTAGAATTCAACTGACTAGCTTGATTGACGATCAATTTCAATTCTAGATCCTAACAGCAATGCCGCACCTAATAATACTCGAAAAAGAATTCTCAGCATTCTCCAAAGCGAAACAAGGAAATTAGTTTTTTTAAAAAATATACTTGGATTCGGACAAAGTAGAGAGGCAGAACAAAAAAAAAAAAAAAAAAAAAAAAAAAAAAAAAGAAAGAAAGAGGAAGAATCAGTTCTTCATTTTCATGTTCGTCGATAATTTTATCGGGAACCAAACAGAGAACGTACGCTATTGCATAAACGAAAATGGCAAAATTACGTACGATAGAAAACTTCACGCCTAAGTTGTTGAAATTCTCAATGATCTGCGATTTGGCGGGATTGGAGAGAGTAGATTCCCTCACGAGAAGGAACGTAGGGTGACCGGCCTTAGCGCTTGCTTGGACGATAAACTTTCCGATATATCCAGTGCCTCCGATGATCAGGATCTTGCTTTTCTCGGCCATCGTGGTTATTAAAGGACGACTTCGGGCAATAAGGAGCAAGGACAGTGAGCAAATGGGTTAGGAGAGAGAGCTTTTAAGAAAGTGGGAGCGCGATTCAAATGGGAGGTTACCTTGGTCTGTTTATAGGCCATAGGACAATAGATGAACAGTCCGAAATGCCCCTACAGATGTTTCGTGCTTACTACAAGAGAGATGTATCATGGGGACACAAGTTGGTCTAGGTTCAATCTTGCAGTTACAGGAAGCATTGATTCGTGCTTTGGTGTGAAGAAAAATTCAAAATTTGTTTTTGAATTGAGTTTTTATGATAGTAATGCAGTATAAATTCAAAAATGGACATAATTACAAAGGAGAGGTAGGTATGTTCGTCTGTTGATTCCTTTAGTTCTACTACTCCAGTGGGTTGGCATCTGCAAATTTCTGTTTGTTAATTTAATTTGGTATGGATGGCCGAGTTAGGTGCTCGTGATTGGAAGCTTAAACTAAATTTGGGGTTTGGTGAGGTCTCAAACATCAGTTACCACATATACCAAGTATTTTTACAATTTTCGTCTCTCTTTTTGTGTATGATCTGATTTTAATATACTAAGAAAATATTATTTTAATATCATATATAATTTTACATTAGCTTACTTTAAGAAAATCTTTGTGTATCCTAATTCTCAAAATTCAAATTTAATTTGGATATTTATTTGTAATTTTTGTTGAAGTGCTTCTTTAACGTAAAAAAACGTGGTATTATCTTTGTAAAAACTCCTCACATTTTTCAGCAATATGTATATGTATATTTTCTTTTGGATAACTACTCATTTTTAGCGCTTAAATTATTTCACCATAATTTACTTGCAAAAATATTTCTTTCCATCTATTTGTAAAGAAAATATTAAAATTACTAGTTTTAGCTTCTCACTTTTTTTTTTTTTTTTTTTTTTGTGCTACAAATTTTGTTCTTTTTGAGTTTTTGGGTAAGAAGGATGTAAAGAAAAAGATAATCATCTATATTAATTTTCAAGAAATCCAAAAAAAAAAGAAATTGAAAATTAGATTATGAAATTCGAAGTGAAGAAAAAACAAAATTTGAAAACTGAAAAAAGAAAAGAAATGAGCCCATAATAAGAATATGATAGGCCCAAGCTAACTTGCTATTTCCAATTAGTACTTGAGTTTTGGGCTTTTGTCAGAAAGTCATGGGCTCGTCCCATTTATATTTTATGTTTTAGCCGAGCCCAAATTGAAAATCCAAAGCCCATTTCTTTGTGTGTCTTCCTGAAATCAAACCCACTGTCCTCCTCCTTTTTCGCTCTCTCTTTGTTCTCAAACATAATATGTTTAATGTAAGTAAAAATAAATACATATAAAATATAACTCAGCACACTGATTATTTATGTTAAATCGAGCGTAAATTTTTTGTTTTTGTTTGAAAATTTTAAAATATTTCAAGATGTGTTTAAAATTTTCATTTGTCAATAAGAAAATGGTTTATATTGGAGAATATATAATATATATCACTCACATGTAGCATTATAAAAGAGCTCAAATTAATCAATACAGAATATTACGTGATCAAACCTGTAAGGATAGGAATTCATATTCTTGATAATAAATTAATTCCACAACACTGAAGATGAATAATTGAAGATATACACACTGCATCTAATTCCATCATATAACGAGTTTAAACTAACTTCAAATTTTAGAGAATTTCAACGAGAATAATCTTAAGAATAGGAACGCTATGGTACCTGAAATATGCGTTGATATGAAGTTTCCATACATTTTCCAATATATATATATATATATATATATGCACAACACATATGATTAAATATCAAATAAGAATACCAAGAAGAAAAAAATTATTGTGTAATGAAACAAATGCAACCGAGTAAATTTGTAACTTTAATTTATAGTTTTGAACGATCGATAATAAAATAAGATGAAATAAATTAAAAGAAAAATTTCCAACTTTTTCTTAATCATATTCCTATTCTGTATATTTATTGTGACGGCTTGCTTTTCCCAACCCCCATACCTGTGTGCAATGCAAGTTGTTGAAGTTGCAAAATAATTAAAAGTTACAATTAATGGTCTCGAATTTCGTCACGTGCGAATTTAATTAAACTTTCTTTTTTCTCTTCACGCTAATCAATTACATTTGACTTAACCTAATAAATATAATTAACTAACTCTGACTAAAAGACCCAATTAGCACTAATTATAAAAGTTTTATATAAATATTACATCATAAAAGATTTTAACAACTTTTAAATTAATTTAATTTTTTTTATTATGTATTTAATTAACGTAATTAATAAATATTAATATACCCTATTATATAAATTTATGATACATTGTATATAATATTTATATTTATTATATAGTATCATGAACAATATTGTAATTGACATAGATTAAAAATTATATGAATTAGTAATAATGATGTTTTATAATTTTACTTAATATTTTTATACAATTTTTTTTCAAAAATAGTACAAATTATATTTTTAACATAAATAAATTTATTACATATTTTAAACCAAAAACAAATAAATATATATATATATATATATATATATATATATAAGCATTGGAAAACTAGCTATACATAGATAAATATATATAACTGGTCTCTAACCAGGTTATTATAATTATTGAATACGTAACTAGATGAAACCATTCATAATTAATTTAATACATTCAATTATAGATGAAATGTATTATTACATATATACGTAATTAATAAAGAGATTTTTTCAGGAAAGACGGATTGGGTTGTGTATAACATGTGAGCAATCAAAATACTTGAAAAGGCAAAGGACAAATTAAAGGTTGAGAGAATATTATACCTGTATATATATACATGTAGGAATATTGGTGGGATGTATATATATATATATATATATAGAATATGCGTAACCTTATGGAAGACAGAGGAAAACCTAATTTAAGTTTGATGGAGAGTGGGGGGGGGGTGAAGATTAATCGGGATAATAATAATTAATTGAGGTTAATTAATAATGGAATAAAGGAGGGGTTAGTGGTGGTGATAAGTGATAAGCAGGGTAGTAATTAACAATAAATAAAAGGAAAAAAGAGTATGGTACACGTGTATGTCACTTGGAGTGAGGTAAGAGGAACTGAATTGAATGTATCTGGATAAGTGGGAAAAATACATACAATTATTGAAACGACTCTGGTATTAATCTCTGGAGTTACAGACATCAGCATGAAAGGGGTGGGTGAGTGAGTGAGTGAGTCAAGCGGCAACCATGCGCACTTCATGTTGCCTCTTCTCTTTTTAGTTCTATGTATTTTGGGCCGAGTCAGATTCTCACTCTCCCTCTCCCTCTCTCTCCCTCTCTCTCTCTCTCTCTCTCTCTCTATATATATATATATGTATATATTATAATAACATAATTAGGTAATAGGGGTTCATATTTTTCAAGGCATAAAATACCCCACATCAGGCTGATTGGATTAGAGAGGAGAAAATTATGCAAATAAAATGGGGGAAATTAAGAAAGTGGGGTGTGTAGAACAAGACAACGAAAAAGGTAGTGGTAGCTTTCGTTTATATGTACCTTTTTCACATTATAAATATTAGAGCGAGGAGGAATGTTTGCATTCATTCCATCCAATTCAAATTAAAATTTCTACTTTCATACAAGATTTTATATATATATATATATATATAGAGAGAGAGAGAGAGAGAGAGAGAGAAAGAGAGAAACTTGGGGGAGAAAATAATGGAGTGGAAGAAATGTTACTTGGACGTAATATTGGTGCCCCTGGGGATTTTAATGACAATTTCTTACCATGTTTACCTATGGCACCAAGTCCGTACTAATCCCCTCACCACCATCATCGGCACCAACTCCACCGGCCGACGATTTTGGGTCTCCGCCATCATGAAGGTACCTATACTCCCTCTCTGTTCTCCAAGATTACCTTGTAATTATCAATTTCACTGTATATCCATCGTCATAATCATCACATATATATATATATGTATCTAGGTATATATAGCATTCCCTTCTACTACCTTTTATTCCAGCCCTCTTCTTTAACGTTCCCGCCTGGCCATTCTTCCTCCTACCCGCAATTACTAACCAACTCTCGTTTGCAAAAACACATACTTGATAATATAATAAAATTTTAATCTAACCGTTTGTTTAGAAAAAAAGAAGAACTAATCACACTTTTCAATTAATACTATACAAGTGAAGCTTACACACAAGGAACACAATTAGCATAGTAATCCATCACATGGTACGTTTCATAGATTGACGTGGTACATTCCGGGTCATTTCTAATTCTATACATACATATAGTTATAATAATAATAATAGGGTTTCCCTTCACGCACAAAAAAAAAAAAAAAAGGGTGAAATTATAATATGAAGATGATGAAAAATTATAATAATTTATCACAGAACAGAAATAATTATAAAAATGTTTTCACTTTCAATTTTTTAGTATAAATACATATGTTTTGCTTATTATAAGATATATATATATATATATAATAAATAAGTTGAAGAAAACACAATTTCTTATATTTGCAAAATGGGGTATTCACGTGGGGTATTGGTTACATGCAGACGCAAACGTGGCAACCATCTAACGAATACTTTCTATATTTTAAATAATTAGAGTTGAATGACGACGATTCAACTTTCGAACATGAAAAAAATGCTTTGTGATAAAATTGGTCACGTAGAAATAAGCATTTATTCAAAAGATGGTTCAATTATTTATTACTCATACTTTTCTCTTTTTTCTACTATTTACTAATATCTAAATTTTAATTAATTGTAACCACAATTTTTAAAATATGGCATGTAGATCTTTTGTTTTTTGAGGCATGTGTTTTGTATTTGTGATTTATGATTTTCAATCATCATTGTTGCTTTGGTGGGTTAATTACTTTATGGTACCCAATTAATAAAGTTTCTTACTTTTTAAAATAAAATTAAAAAATTTTAATATAAAGACTATATCTTCATTAGATTAGATTAGAGTATCGTTTTTTTAATTACAAGTTTCATAAATCCCATTGAAATTATCCCTTCATAAAAAGCAACAATCCATTTCACATTCATTACGTATACATGTGTATATGTATATGTATATGTGTGCAAACAAACAAGTCAATTACACTTACTATACCTCTCTCAACTAAAGTAGTTTGATTGATCCTTTATTGACCGTGAAAGCGAAACTACATTACTACTTTAATTGATTTGTTTAAAAATGACATATTGGACAGGATAACGACAAGAAAAACATCCTGGCCGTCCAAACACTTCGAAACACCATCATGGGATCTACGCTAATGGCCACCACTTCCATCCTCCTCTGCGCCGGTCTAGCGGCCGTCATCAGCAGCACATACAGCGTGAAGAAGCCACTAAACGACACCGTTTACGGCGGCCACGGGGAGTTCATGGTGGCCCTAAAATACGTAACCATACTCACCATATTCCTCTTCTCATTCTTCTGCCACTCGCTCTCCATCCGCTTCATAAACCAAGTCAACATCCTGGTCAACACGCCGCAAGACCTGCTGTCGGTTCTGACGGAGGAGTACGTGTCGGAGTTGCTGGAAAGAGGATTTGTGCTGAACACGGTGGGGAACCGCCTGTTCTACGCAGCTCTGCCGTTGCTGCTCTGGATATTTGGACCAGTGCTGGTTTTCTTGTGCTCGGCGACAATGGTGCCGGTTCTCTACAACCTGGACTTTGTATTTAGAGGTGGAGCAAAGGGGAAGGTGGAGTCCAGTCGGTCGGACCAAAGTGGGGACCACCATTTTGGGTCTGTTTAGTTTTTTTTTTTTTAATAAGAATGCATTTTGTAAAACCATGATACACTAGTTATCATCGTGTATATATGTATATGCGCATGCATTATGTGTTATGTGTATTATGCATCACTCCGGCAGTGAAGGTTGATTAATTTGCGTCGTGGCCATTAAATATCTTATGCATGCGTAGAGTGGGTGTGTCATTTGGCACTACCGGCAACTTTTTGCCGGCAGGTTGTATCGTGTAATTGGATGTGCAGTATGTTGCTGGTGGCTACTTTGTCTTTTCCACCAAATTAATTATGTAATTAGTCCAATAAAATCTAAGATTAATGACATTTCTGTCAAATTAAAAAAAAGTGATTAACCAATCATTCATTGACATGTAAATGGGGACAAATAAAATTTCATAATTAACAAAATATGAAAGAGTTATAAACTCTAAAAAGCCACATTTTTAAATTTTATTTCAGATTATATTTTGTTTTAATGAAAACTTAATATTTTGTAATTAAAATTATTTAAATATTTTTAAAATTATAAAACAGATATATAGGACAAGTAATGGGTACAAAATTTTATGTGCAAAAAGGGCGATGAGTAAAAAACTTTTTACCCATTTTGAATATTATATTTTGATTAGTGGGATTAATTTGAAGATTTACATATTTACTCTATACCAATCTCTAATTTGTAGGAGGATGTAAATTTGAATAGTAAATTGGAAATATATGTTATGGAATATATTAATTTACACTCTAAAAAACCAGAGGGAAATATTTAGGCCCCTTGGGTTGTGTAGGTATTTCCTTTTTGCAAGGCCGCCTAGGAGTTTGGGTTTCACTTGGTCCGGACAATTCTTTCTTTTTCTGGTTGAATTTTGGGGCAGGAAAGACTGAACCCAGCCCAACTAAACTTTTGCTTTTTCAACCTTAACCCATATATATATATATATATATATATATATATTATTTTTTAAAAAAAAATATAGATAATTTTATAAATTTAGATAATCACTTTATTTAATTTTTTTAAAAGATAAAATTGTACCTCCTATTCAAAATAATTTCTGTATAAGAAGAATCAAGTTTAGAATTCATAATATAGACTGATTGCTTTCTTGTGAGATGAAATAATAAATAAATCCATTAGTTTACGTAATTATCTTCTTATGATATGACCATCATTTTATTGAGTTTTGTGATTTAGATAATCAGTGTGTTTTTATAATTACCTTAATCAATTTAGATTTTGTTCCAATAAATTATTATAATTTTAAAACCAAAAAAAGAAGAAAATATTGAATTAAAAGGTAAATATTTAGATGACTTTTTGATTGCTGGTGGAGATTCACTGTAGAAAGTTAGGTCTTACCCACCATTACAATAAAATAAATAAATAGGAAGTTAGCAGATTACTTGTTCATGTAGAAATTAAAGAAAGTGATAACTACAAACTCTCTGCTTTTTTAAACATCACATATTATACAAAGCATCTACCACTCAAGCTTTTGCTTAAAGTCAGTCGGTGTCAGTCTCCATCAACTTACTTGCCTTTGCTTATTTTTCATTCTTTTTCCTTCTCTTGCTGCGTACATGGTGCGTGTGTCTACCACTGGAATCAACCACACATTCGGGTGAATAATTGACATTAAATAATACCTTTTGCTGTCAAGAAACTTCACCGATGATGTATATTTACTTTAAAACATTTGATTTAAACATATAATTTATTGTTGTCATATATACTTACTGTTGTCGCAAGTGTAAAAATGATTTATAATGGGAACCTCTTCCTTATTTAACAATAAGTGGTGCATGAATATTACCTATGGACAAAAATAAAAATTTTAAAAAAGAAAAAGAGAGACCTGCCTAAACAGATTTTTCAGTGGTCCACCAAGCGACCAAAAAAGCAAATTGGAAAACCAAACGAGTTAAGCAAACCAAATAACGTCCTCCATTACTTCACCATTAAGAAGCTGTCCAACAAAATTAATTATTATTTCTTCCTTTTTAAAAACAGGATCCATGCCTCTCTCTCTTCCCTTTTCACTCTCCACTCTCAACTTGCATTACCAGTAAAGATGGAGCAAAAACCGGCTCAGGATCTCTCAACTCACTGGGGCCGTTTGGGTTTCATGAAGAGAAGTGACTCCGAGTTGGCTCTGGAAGAGTTCCTCACCAAGGCCCTCGCCGGTGTTGACTCAGCCGCCGACAACTCAAGGGTACCCGACTCCGATTTCGACCCTCTTCATTTCCCCCATGTTTCTTCCCCTGATCTCGCTTTCTCTTTCAAGGATCGGGTTCGTTTCTACTTCCTCTTAACCTCTAATTTACCCTATTATATAAGGTTGACTTTTTTTTTTTTTTTAATTTTTAATTTCCGTTATAATTATTTGTTTTTTTTAAAAAAAAAAAAAAAATTATTAGACGATAATTATAAATACAAATTCCATAAATGTGATGTGAAAATGCAGGAAATAGTAATGAACGCATTTTCAAGTTGTGGTGGACTAGTGACAGAAAGCCTGCTATGGTCTCAAAATCTCCCGGCGGACACAATTAATTCCCAGTCTTCTGTTTGTGGTATAATAAAATTAATAAACTCTAAACCCAAATTTAACCATAATTATGAGATATATATATATATATATATATATATTTTTTTTTGAATTTACGTGTTAATATATACGTATGTTTATTGATGCAGTTGGAAGTCCATTTTCGGGTAATAATAATAACAACGATAATAATAGTAATAAAGTCAAAGTCAGAGGAGCTGCCAGTCCTGGCTCTGATTCCTCGCAGGAGCGACCATCGGATGATGAGGAGGCAGAGATAGAAACGGGTCCTTGCGAAGAGAGCACCGACCCTAATGTCCTAAAACGACTTCGAAGGTTACCGTTTTAATTCTCTCTGCATTCATGCGCCAATTGTACTTTTTTTTTTTTTTTTTTTTTTTTTATTTTTCAAATAATTAATTTTATACTATTAATTACAGGATGTATTCAAACCGGGAATCTGCTAGGAAATCAAGAAGAAGAAAACAAGCACATTTGGCTGATCTCGAGATCCAGGTAATAACCTAAAAATGCATAATTAATTAACTCCTTGGAAAGTTTTATTCAATTTTGTTGATTAGGGAGTTAATTAATTAATTAAGTTTTCCAAAACCAAAGTTTAAATAGTAATTACGGTTTGATTGAGTTGTAGGCTGAACAGCTGAAAGGAGAAAATGCAACTCTGTATAAGCAGCTGGGAGATGCAAATCAACAATTTCGTGATGCTGATATAAACAATCGAGTGCTTAAATCTAATGTAGAAGCTTTGAGAGCAAAGGTATATATACACACACACACACATTTAAGAATAATTAATTAATATAATAAAATGACAATCATAATTATAATTATTACATATGTATAGGTAAAGTTGGCCGAAGACATGGTTGCCCGGGGTTACTTGAGCTGTGGCTTGAATCTTCTTCAAAATCATTTAAGTTCAAATCAAATGGCGATGAATATAAGACATAATAATAATAATAATATTAATAATGCAAATGTATCACCCACCGTTGCAATTCCTGCAGATCATCGCCATCATGCTCATTCCTCGTATCCTCGAATTCATAGTAATAATAATAATAATAATAATAATAATTCAGCGGTGGAGAATGGAATTGCTGCTGCAAGTGATGCTCTCAGCTGCGTATCAGGCATTTGGCCTAATTAGTTAGTAATTAATGTATCCAATTATGTATTTTTTTTTTTTTTTTATAAACAAATTTAATTTCTCTAATTGTGTGAACATTCATCATATCTCCTTGCAAATTGTACTAGTAAGAAAATATAGTCAGCCCTAATTTCTACAAGAATGTAATATAAATGATATAAAAATTTGGATGGTAATATTATATCATTTTAAATAATTCTATGTTTAATTAAAGCTAATTTTTATATAAACAAATAAAAATATAAATAAAATTAAATGAATGACGCATCAGTGGGGTAAATTATGCCCAAATTTTAAATTGGTACTTGGATTAAACTAGATAATGAATGAATACCCATAACATAAAGCAATGTAAGGGTAAAATTACCAATAGTATTTCATTGTCATTGACTACAATACCCCCGTGGGTAGATTATATATATATATATATATATATATATGGTTATGGTTAGTGAAGAGTTCATGTAAAATAATGAAGAAAATCAAATTGATTTTTGCAGTCAAGGAAGAAGGATAAGTTTTCATGGGAGGGGAAATGTTTTTGATGGTCTCATGCAATATTATAAAGATTTTGGGATCTTATGTAATTATGAGACAGAATAAGGAGGAAGAAGCTAGGAGATTACGGAGTGAGGAGTATTCGGTATAATTTCAATTTTAGTCTTATTCAATGAATTTTTTTATTATTTTTCTTAAAATATAAATGAATTTAATATATATATATATATATAGTATGTTTATTTATATATTATGTATGTGTATTTTATATGTTATGCATTGCGTACTAAATATATGAATATACTAATGTAAATACTATGTTTAAAAAAATTAAAATACTTTGCACATATGGACCGAATTTGGACTAAAATGTAGTTTGATTAGGAACAAAGTAATATTAGTCTTATGCTAAGTCTATTTATTTTGTGGTGGAACCAAAAAAAAGAGGAAAGAAAAAAGAAAGAAGAATAAGAAGAAATAGTGGTAGTAGAAGAAGAAAAATAAGTAACAAAAAGAACATGAACTAGAAGAAGAAGAAGAAGGAGAAGATGAAGTAAAAGAAGAAGAAGAAGAAGAAGAAGAAGAAGAAGAAGAAGAAGAAGAATGAACATAACAAACAATAAAAAGAAGAAGAAGAAGAAGAAGAAACATATGAAGAAGTAACAAAAGTAGAAGGAAAACTAAATCCATGAACGAACTCCTCCATCTTAGTGAGGTCGTGGGCAAATAATGAAAGAAAAAAGGAAAGGTTTCCATACTAGGGGGAACCACCATTGTTTCTCTCTCCTAGATATATATATATATATATTTGTATACGCACGCACACACGCGGAAATCTAAAAGAAAAAAAGAAACACAGTATCTGTTTTTTTTGTTTCTCTCTCACTCTCACGTACAAAAACTGTAGAAGAGAAGAAAGTGTTGTCCGTCAAAAAAAGCAAAAAACAGTTTCAGGATTTTTTTTCATCTCTGCGCACGGAAATCGAGAAAAGAAAAAAATAAGTGTTTTCCTTTTGTTTCTCACACACATTGAAACTGAGACAGAAAAGAAGAAGAGTTTGTTCTTTCTTTTAGGCTGGGGAACCGGAGGCAGAGAGAGTTAACAAAGTTTGGTAACTTTTTTTTTTTTTTTTTTTTTTTTTATTTTAGTATTTTGAATCAACTTCCTAAGGATTTTTCTCTAATTTTTTGTTGTGATCGTTTCAAGAGGAAATTGAGTTTGGTTATACAAGAATTTATATATTTTCTCAATTGTTGATCATCTGAAGTGTGCATTACTTTCAAATATTATATACTTAATTTCTGTAATAGTGGATTTAATTTAAAATTTGGTCGATGATTTTTTTTAATATGATCAGTCAATTGCATAACACTTGAGAGAATTTTAAGACTTGACAAATCAGTTGAACATAATGAACATAATTCTACATGATGAAT